GTTGAGGGAGATTGTAACCACTGTACGTCAATGACCGAACTCAACTGCCGCAATTAATTTCCGGTGAAGGTAGCATTGTCCGATCGCTCACCGGCATTGTCAAAGTGCTAAAAACATACGATTCACGTCAAGTCGCCTGTTCTCTAGAACCGAGAGATGAGGATGTGACATAGTAGCTTTCCCGGTCGATATTGAATCGCCGGCATCTAACGGGATTGCTGGACTCGGACACGGCAACAAAAATAGCATCCCACCCCCGAGCCACAAGTGCCGGACGGGACCGGTCTATAGGGACAGTACACATCTCGAGCGGAAGTCCATCGGGCACTCATAACCATTGTCACAATACTTGAACAGCTTCAAGAGTAAGAATGAACAGTTTCGTCGCTCGATAACCGCAAAGAGGAAGCACAATAAAATCCTGAGTAAAAAGAAACAGGAAAAAAAACCGAGAAAAAAAGAGTGTGTACAGAGTACACTGAGACAAACCCCGTAGCCCAGCGGGAAACGCGACCCTTATTCTTCCCCCCAGTGCCCCCTCACGATCCCACTATCCCCTCCAGCTTCGCCACTGCTCGGTAGCTCCATCTGACGAGGGTCGAAGAATATCGCGTTTCCCAAAGTGAGATCTTTCTGCGAGTTATCAATGGTCGTCCATCGATGGTTTATTTCTTGTGCCTTTTGGAGGGCGCAAGTGACTATGCCACAAACAATTCGTCTGTAGCACCTATGCAACAAATACTTGGTCTGTAGCAAATTCTTTCTTGTTTTGTCTTTTGCAGCGGAGTGTCGCTTTTCGTCTTTGGCTCTGTGGCGCTGACTTTGAAGCTCAACAGCATCGCGCTTTTGTCTTAGTTTGGCTTTTTGTTGCCCAGTAGTCTTTTGTAGCGGAATGAGCTACGCTTCAGTTCAGTTTTGTCTGAAAATCTTTGCCTGCGTTCGTTTCGAACCGGCGAACTCTTGAGTTTGCATGGGCACAGCAGTACATGAGACCACTGCGCCATTCTGCCATGCGGCAGCTGATTCTAGGCACGGGGTTTGTCTCTTGGTGGTGGCAGGAGGGGCTGGAAGATCTGCTTATGTACTGCAGGTGAAGGGGACTTGCACGGGAAGGTACATGGGAAGGAGGGCGGGAGTGCTGCAGCTTGCGGGCAGGTCAGGTCCGATGTGTGGCATGAGATAGGAGGGAAGGGAAGGCACGGCCGCCAACTGGAGGCTGGACGAAGGCCACGGATGAGGGGACTACACGGTAGCAGAGAGGGAACTAATTTGCGAGCTGATGAAGTTGGAAGGCTGTCGCTGCGTTCCAGAGACCCTGTTCGCGAAGGCCAGTTGGTGTTTTTATGAGTGAAGGAGAGACGAAACGTCTGCATGATAACTTTGTAGCATTGATCGTGATGATGATGATGACTCGCAATTGTCGTCTCCATACACGGTCACCTAATCTAATAGTCTCTTGATCTGGTAGACATTCGGACAACTACAGTCCATCGATGGTCTGGTTTACCTGCAAAGTCAAAAGAAAACTTCAAAGAGTGTGATACACGGCAATATTTTCCTCCTTCTTCGATGGCATTCAGGGAGACCTGTCAATGTCACGACTCAATGTAAATAGGACACTAGATCGAGGTTCGTCGGGTGAGGACATCACCCCCAACCAGACAAGCGAGGAAGTCTTGCTTAATCGCTTCACCTCCAACACTCCTAGATCGTTCCGCGGTAAGCACTATACAGTTAGCGTCCCTTTCCTGATCGAAATCAAAGGCCTTGTCTTTCTCAGCTCCTGGATTCGCCTTCGTTTTCTGAGTGTCTTGCGGTGTCCGGTCTGTCGGTGTTTGGCCACCAGAAGGTGCAGCTTTCCCTTCATTTTCGTATTCCACTCGTAGTATATCCATCATCATATCACTTTCTCATCACATCTTTTTCGCACGATTCTTCTCTTTCCACTTGCCTTTGACTTACGGGCGGGAATTTGGTCGAGCGGGCGAGAAAAGGAGAGGAGAGGAGAGGTCAGAAGGGCACCGCCATTCTGCCCAGTCCTGTTGTGACGGCGTTGCCGGCAGGATTGGAAAAGATAGAAAGTTAAGTCTCTGCAGCTGGGATAGAGTTTCTCGCAACTGGAGGGTGCTCTGCCCAGTTGTGATCGAGTGTCCTTGGAGATGGTCCTGTTCGTGGATGCTTGGTATCATGGAAGCTTCCACCATTCAAGACGACAGGCTACTTGAGAAAAGAAGAAAAGCGAAGTTGAACATTCCTGGACATGATCTTTCATTCTAGGATGCATTTAGTCCTTATAACCAACACACCACTTTCATCTCCTATGTTATGTAGTTCATTATGAAGACCTTTCACCGTCCAATGCCCAACTTGAACAATTTGTTTGCGGACTGTAAAAAATTCTTTGGACACCCAAGAGCTCTTTACCTCCTCCCACCCCTCCTCTCCTCTTTCCTCTCTTCCTCCCTCCTCTGCCTCTTCCTACTTTCCTGCGCAATCATGTCGCTCAAATCCTCATCATAGCTACTCGCCCACTGGGCACCCGGACCCTCCTCTTTTCTTCCAGCTTCATACCTCTTCCTCAACTCCTCCTTACTCAACCCGGCCTGCGCCGCCAACAGATCCGGATCGAGCGCCACCTCCACATCACCAGGCTTCTTCCTCTTGCGACTATCGTCATCGTCTCTTCCGAGTACAGGTACGGAAGGTCCAGGCCCAGCACCCGGCCTGCCAGACGCCAAATCGTACGTCTTGTCGGAACCAAAGAAACCCTCGGCGCGCGTCTGCCTTTCGGGAATAACCTGGTATGCCGATCTGGGCGCGGCCGACTCCTCCGTCTCGTAGCCGCGCCGCGTCTTGCGCAGGTCGAATTCGCCCGCCATGCTGGTCTCGACAGGCGCCTCGCCGGTATGCATGCTGCTGGCGTAGCCGGAGGGGTGTCCGGCGTCGAATTGGCTGATGGAGGTCTCAGTGCCGCCGGGCGGAATGTCGTGGTCCTCTTCCTCTTCATCCTCACCCTCTTCCTCGTCGGACTCTTCTTCTTCTGATTCTTCGGCGGGAGGCTGGAGCTCACCCCATAGTGTGCGCTCGACAGGCTCGCCACCGAAACCAGTGGCCGCGGGTCCTTGTGACTGGGGTTGTTGGAAGGGAGCGGCGGTGCCTCGTTGACCGGGGGCCATGATGCCGAAAATGTCACCGCCGTATAGGGGACGGTTGTACTCGTCTAGAGGGGGCTTGCCCCATTGACCGGGTTGGAAGCCCCATTCGGCACCCGGTGGTAGCGGGGCGTTGAGGCCAGGGATCTTGAGGGTGGGATAGGATGGCGGAGGGCCGACACGCTGTTGCTGGAGAAGCCATGGAGGGGGGAAGCCGGGCTGCATGCCTAGCGCTTCCCTTAACGCATCGCTAATCTCGCCGGCGCGGAATACCTTATAATCTGCCTCCCACTCCTTGCCCTCGTAATAGACGTCGCCAAACCTGGTAAGGTCTGGTTTTGTTTGGTGGCGGAAGAAGGCGTCGTAGAGCTTTTGGTAGTCGATGTCGAGTTTGCCCATCTTCGGTTGCACACGCTCGCGCTGTTTCTGCTTGAGAGTCTGCTCTGCTTGCTTCTCGAGCACGGCATCGCGCATCTCTGTAATGCCGGTCTCGGCGATGAACTTTGGAAGCTTGAAGGGCGGCTTCTCGATACCACGCTTGCTCGAAAGATATTCCCGTTTAAGCGACCAATGGCTGGGCACGGGAACGATGTTCCTCTGAGCTTTGATCTGGACAAGCAAGCGGGGATCGGATGATGAGACGTCTTGCCACTCAACCACCTCTGGATTCTTGACCAACGCCTTCAGCTCCGCAATAGAGAGCTTGTTCAGCTTCTTGCGCTTCTTCTTGGATAGTTTGCCTGCATCCTCCTCCTCGCTGGGAATCTCATCGTCTTGGTCGAAGAAAACTTCTCCCTTGTTGCCCGCATTTGCTTCCCTCGCCACATCGTCCTCATCCAGGCTCATACCAAACTTCTCGAAGATGTTCTTGTAGGCTGCGAAAGCGGGGTCCTCATCGAAAGCAGAAAGCTCGACACCGACTTGATCATCGACGGGGCCATCGACGGGGCCGTCGACCTCGATCTTCTGGGGTGAATCTTCCTTCTTGACTTCAGAATCTGATGGTGTGGTTTCGTTCTTCACGGTTGTGTCTTCCTTGGCGTCTATTGTCGCCTCGCCGTTCGTGGTCTCGGTTTCGGGAGCCTTGGTGCCATTCTGTATCACGTTAGCAAATGGGAATGATGGGTCACAGGTTCCAAGACGTACCTCAGTCTGGGCTTTCTTCTGTTCCTTCTTCTTGGCCCGGCGCATTTGATTCTTGGTCATCTTGGTGGCCGCCATCTTGACCAGCGATCTGAGAGCCAGGTGCTCCCGAGTGTGTCTGAGTGATTGTGATGATTTGCTGATGAATCCAAAACTCAAATTAAGGCCGTCAATGTACAAATGGCTGTTATTGGGTTTCTCTTCGAGTGGGCAAATGATAGTGACGAGGATGTGGTGATACTAGGTAGCAGCAAAGTGGTGGACCAGCCTCGAAGTCCACTCGCTGCAAGGCGTCGCGAAGTGGAATGCGCGTGCTCCAAAAGTTTCGAGCTCCAAGCACTGTGAACCAAACGGTACGTATGGCGATTTGCCTGCCGATTTACTATGTAGTTGCTGATTGCGGCGCTACAGCAGTACTGTAGTCCAGGCAGCCTGGAACAGTGTGGCTGGTGGTGACCTTAGAGGTAAGAGTCCTCTCTTTTGAGGCTGAACAGTCGCCAGATGTGGCGTAGCAAGTGCTGCCGTTGGTCGACCCCTGACTGCTCCCCTGACATTAGAGGTAGCGGTTCGTAGGGGTCGTCCTTGCCCGTGGAAGCATTCCAGAGCGGGATTGGAGCGCCAAGAACGAGGACGACTGCACTTTATTCTTATCTGTGAGCGCCTGGATCGCATCTGACCAAGGGGAGGGAAATGTTACAGAAAGTACTTTGAAGTTTTGGTCTGGAACTTTCAAGTTGGTTGTATAACGCCATCTGCCATAATCTTGATACTTTTACACGAGTTACACCAGATTCTCTGTACATCATAGCTGCGCATAACTTACTCTAGTACTCGTACATCATTTGTTACACTAATTCTACCAAGTTCTCGAGACCGACCAAAGCGGCCATGATCAGCGTCATCCTGTGATAGACTCCAGCAGCGCGAAACATCCAGGTCAGGAACGGAATTCGACTCCCCGCCGACGGCTTTCACCATCGAAATCCCCCCTTCGAGAATTCTCCCTCCTTCTCTGTCTCTCCAGGCATTGCCAACGCGCAATTGGACGATTGCTATGGCGCAATATACAGCATCGACCGGCTCGTCCTTGAGAGCCTCGCCAAACCTCCGACAACACCATGCCGACACCAGCGCGGCCCAAGACACCACCGAAAAGTTCCCCGACTTCGATACTTCTCAAACAACAAACGGCTATCCCAGCGGCAACGGCCGGTCTATAAATACCGGTTCTAATGCGCCCTCGGATCAATGGCGACCGAGAAGGGAAAGCAAAGTGACATGGGCTCCTAGAGACTCCCCAGGGCCCGTAAACGCCTACTCCCATGGCCGTGGTCATTCTAGGCAAACGAGCATTAGCAATGCGATACACCGGATGCGCTCAGGGAGTATGAGCCAGAATGCTCATGAGATTGCGGAAGCACTTCGTGCGCCTGTATCCTACAAGCTAATAGTACGAACATTTGCCCCAGTGGCCATTCCTCTGTGCAAAGCTAACCTCATCTCCTCTTCTCTACAGGGGCTCTGTATGATGTGGTACTGGTCCTCAGCGCTGACCAACACCTCTTCCAAATCGATCCTCACGACTTTTGACAAACCCGCGACCCTCACGCTGATCCAATTCGCCTTCGTTTGTTCCTACTGCCTCCTAGCCTCCTGGTTAGCTTCGACGTTTCCCAAGCTGCGCACCGCCGTGCCCGCACTCAAACACCCGATTCGCAAGCCCTCGCGCGATGTCATTGTCACTACGCTTCCTCTGGCGGCCTTCCAGATCTTCGGCCACCTCCTCTCCTCGTCCGCGACCTCCAAGATCCCCGTCTCGCTCGTCCACACTATCAAGGGTCTATCCCCATTATTCACCGTGCTCGCCTACCGCTTGATATTCGACATTCGCTACCCGCGCGCAACATACTACTCCCTCGTGCCCCTGACAATCGGCGTCATGCTTGCTTGTTCCGGCAAACACTCGTTTGGCGAGGGCCAGTTCCTCGGCATCCTCTACGCCCTAATAGCCACCATCATCTTCGTCACCCAGAACATCTTCTCCAAGCGGCTCTTCAACGAAGCCGCGCGCGCCGAGCAAGAAGACGGACACAGTAACGGTCACCGGTCCAAGAAGCTCGACAAGCTGAACCTTCTCTGTTACTCCTCTGGCATGGCCTTCATCCTTACCGGTCCCATCTGGCTGTGGTCTGAAGGCTTCTCCATAATCGGCGACTTCCTCTGGGACGGCTCGGTCGACCTGAGCGAGACGCCCAACTCGTTCGACCACGGCCGTCTGACCCTGGAATTCATCTTCAACGGCACCTTCCATTTCGGCCAAAACATCCTCGCCTTTGTGCTGTTGAGCATGGTAAGCCCAGTCACTTACAGCGTCGCCTCCCTGCTCAAGCGCGTCTTCGTCATCATCATCGCCATCATCTGGTTCCGCTCGCCGACGACCAATGTCCAAGCCGTCGGCATCGCCCTCACCTTTTTGGGTCTGTATTTGTACGACCGCAGCCAGGAGAAGAACAAAGCCGACCAGCGCGCGCGCTCGCTGTCTCGCTCCAAGATGCACGAGTCGATCCTACCGCTTAACACCAAGCAAACCACCGAAACGTCTTCCCAGTATCAACCCTCCAGCCTGAATACCCAAATAGGCGGGTACGGATACATGCCCTCCATCCAGCCCACCACAAGTAGTGCCGACCTTGGCGCGAATAAGAAGGATGATGGGCCCAACCCTTCGTCAGTGTCAACAACAGGAGGAGGTGGGAGACAAAGAGGCGCGAGCATGGCCAAGTCTAATGGGGGATGGCTGCCGCCGGGGACGAGGCAGGAACATACATGGAGGGTTGGGGACGGGCGTGGGCAGAATGGTGCCGAAGTTTCAGGGCCGGCGGGAGTTGCTGTCATGTCTTAGGATAGAGGTTTAGATAGCATCAAACCGGCATTGTTGGATTTGATTGTAATGATATTCTGAAGAGATTTTATTCTGTAGAGGTATTTCCGGTTGTTATTATTATTATTGAATGCAATGTGTTTTGGATGCCTTGCGTTGTGGTCTTGGGTGACTTGGGGTCTGGACTTCAGTTTTTGTTGACTTCAAGAGGGAATGGTGTTTAGAAAAGCGAATGGGATAATGGCCGGGGAGATGGAATGGGAAGAATTATGAGAGCGAAGAGCAAACTTCTTTGAAGCGAAACCTCAGGTAAGTAGAGGTACGCTTAAGACCTTCCTTTTGATGTCTTCCTCTTTGGGTGAACGTCTTTCCCCACACCCTTTACCATTTCCCTTCTCGAAAGGGCTTCTTTTTTTCTTTTATTTTCTTCTTCTTCTTGTGTCTCTTTTCCCAACTTCTCCTTTCCCCCCATCATCTTCTCTTTGTTCCTTGTCACGACTATCTCTACTTACCTTCATGGAAAAACAACACATGGAGTTCTACAGTGCATCCATAGTGGAAGAAAGGTAGAGAAATTGGACCGCAACTCTTAAATTTCAAACATCAAACACACTAGGTTATTTCATCCCGAAGAACGTCACCTAGAGCGAGCGCGAATCATATGACACATATCCAACTGAACCACATCATATACTCGAATGAAGGATTCAAAAAGAGTCTATATAATCAAGACACCACATCACCAACGCTGAATCAGGTTAACGTAAGCGACCCTCTGACATTCATGCCAACCCAACCAGCCAGTCCAGTCCAGTCCAGTCTAGAACAACAAAAACGCCTTTACTGCCTGAACCAAGAAAAACCCATTCAATCGCCAATGCAATATAGGTTCTGTCATCCTTCTTCTACTGTTCCTTTTATAATCCCATCTCTTTTCACGCCAAAGGGAGACGGAGCCCATCATTAACGATGAGTCCCCGCGCGCCCGGCAATCTCAGCCTGCTCGTTGCGCTCCTTCTCGTCGACCGGCTTATCATGTCTCGAGTACATCTTCCACTCAAGCGAGTTGGACCAGTCCAGCTTGCCCTTCTCGACTTGTTGGCGGGTGGTGGTGAGCATCGGTTGGGGAAGGCCCATTGATTCGAGGAAGGCGACGGCTGTGTGGGAAGATGTTCGTTAGCTATTGTTCGTCTGAAGTCGAAGAGAAGAAGAAAGGGGGTGAAGTGGACATCATGGGATGACCTAGTAATGTGTAATGGAGTAATCAATGGCATGGGGCGAATAACTTACTGTCCTTCCACTCAACCTCCTTCCTCTTAGCATCCCACGTGAGCTCATCAGCCATGATGTCAATAACCTTGGGCAACGCCTCGAGCGCCGCCTGCGCATTCAAGAAGGCCAATCTCGTGCGACGAGCGAGCACGTCCACAGCCGTCTGGGCATACTCGTGCCTGACCGCGTAGCGGATCTCGCCGTCAACAAAGGGGTAAAGCTCTGCAATGCGCTCGCCCTTGGCGGGGAAGCGCTTGTTGGTGGCCTTGCACAGCGAAGCAACGGTCCAGGCGCGGTCGCCGTAGCTCTCAGTCAAGTGCTTGGCGACCTCGGTCTCGACGCCAAAGTGCTGGATCAGGTGGATGAACAAGGTGCGGCTGAAGCCGTGAGCGCCGATCAGGCGGACACGGTGCGTCTGGCAGGAGCCGTCGAGGACGGCATCGTCTTCCACGTGCTCAGTGCCACTGACCAGGGGAGGGTTGGCGATGGGCTTGACGGGCAGGTTGAACTCCTTGACGGCGGCGTCGACGCACTCCTCGGCCATTTGGCGGTAAGTGGTCCACTTGCCACCGGCGCAGGTGATGAGGCCGGAGGGGGAGATATCGATCAGGTGGTTACGGACAAGGGACTCGGTGTTCTTGGCCTTGGGGTCCCTTACGAGAGGGCGGAGACCGGACCACGCAGCCAGGACGTCGCCGCGGCGGACGTTGATGTCGGGGGAGAGGTAGTGGCTGATCTCGTTGAGAATCCACTGGATGGACTTCTCGTCGGGGAGGGGGTTCTTGGTAATGGTCGCAGGCTCGTCGGTGGTACCGGCAATGGTGTTGCCTTGCCAGGGGAGGAAGAAGATGACTCTGCCGTCGGAGGTGGAGGGGTCGATCAGGCCCATCTTGCCAGGGCTGTAGTACCCGGGGAGGATGACGTGCACACCGGAGGCGGGGGCGACAATCTCCTTGCAGTCCTGGTCGTCCATCTTACGGATGCTGTCTGTGAAGGGACCAGTGCAGTTGATGATGCACTTGGCCTTGATGTTGAAGGGAGTCGCTTCGTTGCCGTCTCTCTCAGTGACAAGGTCCTTGAGGGTAGCACCGCAGAGCTTTCCGTTCTCGCCCTTCTGAAGGCCAGTGACCTCCATGTGGTTCACAACAGTAGCACCGTAGAGGGCGGCAGTCATACCGATCGAGACGTTCATGCGGGAATCGTTGTGGGCACCATCGTAGTAGACGAGGGCGCCAACGAGGTCGGTCTGCTTGAGCATGGGGAAGGCATCAATGGCCTTGCTCTTGGTCAAAAAGTATGAGCTCTCGATGCCCTCGGAACCAGCCAGGAAATCGTAGAACTTGGTGCCAGCCCAGTAGTAAGGAACCTTCCACCACTGGTCGAGTGGCAACATGATGGGTAGCCACGAGCTCAGATGGGGAGCAGTCTTCAAGAAGTACTTGCGCTCCTTGAGGGCCTCCTTGACAAGCTCGTACTGGGCGTAGTCCAAGTTCCAGACGGCCTTTTCGAGATAACGCACACCACCGTGTACCAGCTTGGTGCTCTTGCTGCTTGTCCCGGAACTGAAGTCGTCTCGCTCGACAACGGCGACCTTGAGACCGCGAGTTGCGGCATCGAGAGCCACGCCGGCACCGGTTGCGCCAGCTCCGATAACAAGCACATCATATTCGTCCTCCTTGTTTCCCGAGTTGCTCTTTTTTAGATCGGCAATCTGCTGGTCGCGGGACTTGACCTGGGGGAAGCGGGGGAGTTTGAAGGTGCCGTCGGCGCCGAAGATAGGGGGCGGGACGACGGGGCCTTCGTACCCGGGGATGTTTCGGGGCTTATACATGTAGTAGAGGGAGCCACCAGCGACACCGGCCACAAGAGCCGGGGCGACCAGCTTCTTTGCTCGCAATAGCCTCGACATTTTGGGTGATAGATTAAAAATATAGTGAAAAGATGATTAGGGGTTTAACTACGCCGAAACGAAGAGAAAAAAAAGAGAAAAGTTTTGTCGAGGGGGCGCGAAGTCGTCGCACGGGTAGGAGGCGGCAGACTGACTGACTGACTGACTAGTCAGGTGTGTAGGAGGGAGAATGCGACGGTGGTGTTGTCGAGACAGGGGTATCCACCGATGACGCAACCGAAGTATTGGCGGTTGGTTGTTGAAGTTGTCAGGAAGAGTCGAGACTTCCTTTTTGCAGAGAGAGAGAGGGGGGAAAAAAGACACACACACAAAGAGAGCTCAGTCTCTGGTTTTTATTTTTCAAGTCCAAAAATAAGAAACGAGGGGTAGGATGTTGATCCGGCTCTCCTGGTTTGACCCAAGAACGAGTCGGACGTGTTTTGTCTTGGCTCTGGCCGATCGCGATGGAAACTACGCAATTAGGCCCAATGTTGCTGGAGATGAGTCGGAGATCTCTACTCTGTTAGTTTCCCCTCGCTGCTCGTCTAGCCACTGGACTGGTCAGCGGACAGACATCCAGAATTCAGCAGGTCAGGTACACGCGGGGGCGTGGAGACACACCGACGATTACACCGCTGGCGATGTGCACTCCAAGTTGTCTTGTTGGACAGTCCAGTCCTCCGCATGGAACATGTGTTGCAAAAAGTCTTGCTCAAAGAGAAGAGAAATTACCAACCTGTAAAGCGTGTTGTCATAGACTTTGGAAACTCGCGTTAACCCAAAGAGCGAGGTGTCTCTTGACAGCGAAGAGCCTTGTTGTTGTTGCCCCCAAACTGGTTGCTTTGTCAAGTTTCTTTGTTGTGTCTGTTGTTCTCGAGTAACTACGGATATTCGGAACGGAATCTTCTATGTTGGTTGACACTTTGTTGGTAGGGAGGGGCTGTGTAAGACTGGACGAACTATTGAATAGAAAAATGGGATGATGCCCGAAAGAGATGGTATCTAAAGAGCCGACCAAAACCGGGACTGAGAAGCAGACATTCTTTTGATATTTCTATCATCTTCTAGGTCTTCAGATGAATGTTAGACTTGTGACTGACAACGAAGCCTCTCTTCCTTTTTTTAATTTTTTTTTTTATATTTTTTTATTTTTTATTTTTTATTTTTTATTTTCCTTCCCTCAGTCATATCAGATTGGTGTCCCCAAATCCGTGAATGAGAGATGATGAACATGAACTGTAGCCAAGAAAAACAAGAGGTCGAGAATATTGTGGAAAACAAGAAATGTGACCCGAGAGTAGCCAATTTGGGATGCAATTCACATTCTTCCATGTTCAAGCTCAAGGTCCCCCTCATTCATGCCGGTGATTCTCGTTAGCTGCCCCGCGAAACAGTGACTGAGACAACACCAATTGCCCTCACTGCATTAACAGTGGTACCTGATGCACCTGTCACTCAACTGTGTTACCAGCATGGAGCTAAATGCGTCGTCCCCTCACGCGGGCTTGTACAAATCCCCTGAAGCTAGAGCTACACCCTGACCTTACCCGCCCGCTTGTATTCAAATGCTCCTGTTCACGGCCCCGCCACGGGCAAGTCTGGCCCCCGAGTTTCGGACCCCCCCTTTCCATTCAGAGCTTCCAACTGCACCACGCCCCCTCCTTTTTTTTGTCCCTTCCCCGGCTTTGCCTCTCAGAGCCTAGCGGGCAACGGCTTCTTCAAAACCTCCCGTCAGCTTTCGGCTCTTTTCCTATTCCAGTAACCCGCGTCCTCGCAGACCTCAACGTCGAATGATGCCACCCGCAAAACTCACATACAGTACAGTACATACATAGTCAGCCTTTATTATCCGCCAATGAGGCGTGAGCTGATATGAATCGGAGCTGATGAATAAGGACTGGACTGTGATAAAAGAGAACAGAAGCTCGAGGAGATCCCTCAATCATCGGAACCGCTATCTTCTGCTGCTGCTGCTGCTGCCCGAAGGGAGCTCGCTTTGTCCTTTTCCAATGACAGTCTCACTGTCACTGATGCCCTTGACCCCACTTCTATTAATTATGCGGCTCCTCAGCTCCCGGCGTGCCCAGAACGTCGTTACGAGCTTTCCGGTTGCTCGGAGTATCCTGCCTGTAGGATCCTATGATGAGGGCTGAATTCTAGAACGTCTCTCAAATTATGAGTCTCCATCATGTGACACCCTCCTGAGTCTCTGCTCCATTTCGGTATCCATCTTGGGTTGAGATTGGGCTTCACCTTTCTGAAAGATTAGGTGTCGGGATAGAGAGTCTGGATATGAATAGACGGTCGTTGACATTCATTCAGCTGATCGCGAAGGAAATTCTTTTCTGTCCATTTTCCATTCTTGTTCCTGGCTTAGGCCTTTTCCTGGCTTATGCCTGCCTATTCATGCAACATGCACAAAACACCCGTGCACAATGATGTTGCGGGGTTCCGTTGCATGACAGACATAAATTGTGGGGGAAAACCCACCGGCTGGATCTACGTACAACCCAACACCGGGCCAGGTGAACGACGGAGGACTGAGGGGGTTTGTTTGGGTCGACATCGAGATTCAACTCCACGGCCATGACGGTTGTTCGGACGGCGATGGCTTCGATCATGCAATAGATCACACGTCCGCTTGGATCGACTTTCGTGATGTTGGGTTCATCCGAATGCCTACATAGATACCGCGCGAAGTGGCTGAACTCGTGATATCTCTCGACGTCTGGGAGGTATAAGTTGGATGTAGAAACGTTCACTTGATGTAGCACCTAGACAGGAGCTCGATTTGTCGCTCTGTCATAGTCGCCGACGGCTGAGCGGCGTGTGATGTTATCTCATAGCAATTGAAAGGCAGTCCAGGGCTGAAAAACTTAGTAGTCGGAATAAGGACATGTATTTTCTTAGATGTGAGAACCCGCATAAAGATAAGTGTGTTCCAACCGCAAGCTCGGCTGCTGTGTAGCGCATCAAACACATCCGAGGCATGATGAAGACTGGCATACAAAAGGAGGAATGAACAGAAAACAGGTAGAGGAGCAAGGTGAACTGGTGAAGCACTGGAAAGATGGATTGAAGGGAATGTCTGCCAGAGGAAGAGCCCGCAGAGGGATGCAGCCCCGCACGCAATCTGAAATAAATCCAGCAACTTGGACGAGGGTTGGTCACGAGGGGACAGCCGCAGCGGGCAAAACCATCTGAACGAAGAAAGAGCATCTGGATGAGGTAGGACTATGAGTGGCGTTCTCGTCCCGAAGGCCCGGATGTGAAATCATCGCCCGTAACTCTTATCCGAAGTACGGGCTACCGAGATACGGCTGGGTGCTGGGAGCAGGGTAGCTTACCCCTTTTTCGGCCATGTCAAGTAAACAAACAAACAGTGTCATTTGTTAGTAGCGAAACACCTGGCAGGGATAAAGAGACGTCATTCTGAAAAGGTGCTGGGCACTTTAAAAGCTCGGAAGCTTCTGTCCGCGTGTGACGATGCTACTCCTCTAAAATCCTCAAATACCTCGTTTCATCTTGATATCCAGGAGTTTGGTCTCACTGCCCGAATCTAGCTATCCCCATCAGCTCACTCCTCTCTACCAAGTTCCATATCTCCCCTAACCCCCATGACCCCCATTTACACCGGACAACAAACAAACGCGCCGGCTAAAGGAAATGATAATGCATTGTCAGCTGTACAGTATTTACACACCAACCCAAGTGTTAAGCGCCCCAAAGCATTCCAATGCCACCACTGTCCTTTCCCCCGATCCTCAGACTCGTTTGACATGGCCGATATCCGAGAGAACGAGGGATGATTCTACCCCTGAGCACGAATAAAAGTATGCGAAACTTATGCGCTGGCAGAGGGAGACTGAACGTGACCCTTGCCGTTGTAGCCTTCGGAGGTGAGACCAGTGAGGGGGTCGGACTTCTGGGCCTGTTTGTTGGTGATATATGTGTTAGTTGATCTGTTTTCCAACAAAGAGCCGATATGAGCCGACGCACCTTGAGGAACTCGTTGGTAGCCTCTTGCCACTCCTTGGTCATGGTGGCAGGAGGGGGCTTGGCGAAGGCGCGCATGGTAGCGAAGATGACGAAAGAGAGGAAGACACCGGCGACAGTGTAGGCCAAGACCTTCTTCTGCTCGCCGGGAGGGGGGAGAGCGCGGGGGCCGTGGGGACCGAAGGCGATGTAGTAGGCTGCGTTGAGAGAGAGTACATGTCAGTCTTTCTATGGTCTGGGCCTGCGTGTCTCTTGAGACGACCTTGATGGCTGTCATGGTGCGGTTCGTCGTCGGAGCTTCCCTCCTCTTGTCCTCCAATGTAGCGCACCGTTACTCCCTCAGCCTTATCCCAGCTTCCCCCAACAACCCATCAATCAACCGATAGCCTCTAGGCCGGCAAAATCCATTTCCGCCCAACGATCCCAAAGCTGTCCTGGAGCTCGTGAAGCTTGTTTGAAGCTCGGGGTTGTCGCAGAGTGAGGGTGACGGGGGGGAGCTTCAAGGCGGGCGTTGGTGATGCAACTAGCTCGGAGCTTGGACGGTCGAGCTCCACCCGGCATTTCGCCAACCTTCAACCTTCCACTTCTCACTTACCAGCCTTCTTCTCCTGGAGGGTAAGGTCGGCCCAGTTGCCCTTCATGCGGTCGCGGAGAGCCATCCAGAGCTCGGCCTGCTCCTGCATGGGCATCTGCTCCCATCTCTTCTCAATGTTGGCGAGCGTGGGGTTGGAGATGGGCATGGTGGAAGCGGCGCGGACGGCCATGGTGGGCTTGGCGGCGCGAACGGCGACGTTGCGCACGAGGGCCGAGACGGTAGGAGTGCGAAGCATGGTGGCGGCGGTTTGTCGGCTGACAGAGATTAGGAAGTCGAGGAGGATTCGAAGTCGGGGGTGGAGATGGATCCAATTGAGTCGCCCGCGTGCGTGGTCGGAGGCCTGGAGCTCGATCGTCGACGGTGATTTTGTGCGAGGAGTGAAGTCATGCAAAGGACGAGCTTTTTTTTGGGCGAACGGGATTCGCAGGTAGGCGAAACGGGGATGCGGCCTCAGCTCGGAACTCGAGGAATGCCTGGGATGGCCTGATGCCCACTTTGCTCACCCCGAACGCAGTGCCCGCCAGTGAAAACACCCCCAAACCAGAGCGCTATGAGACTGTCACAGTTGGCTTGGGGCCCCGTATCTTCCCGGGGGCCAACTCACGGCAGGCTGACCAGGGCCGCCTGGCAAGTGGTGAACGGGCAGCTTTTGCGTGTCTGGCGCTCAGAAACGGAGCCCCTCACCTGGCAATTCCACACTCTTGACAGCTGGCACGGACCGCCTTCAGTTTCCACACCATGGACGTTTTGTCCTTGGGCCGGAGTGTCCATTGTTCATTGTTGACATTTGGATGACGACGATTCGATTCTGGCAGCTGAAAAACGGAACTCACATGCCAGACGTGACGTTGCCCTCAACATCGTCAATGTCTCACAAAGTTTATTGTTTGCTTGTCCGGAGTGGGAGACACGACAGGGTCTTTAAACAGATTAAAGCCTTGCAGAGATATATTTCATGTTGTTCGCAATGAGTACAGTAAACTCGGCAGAACGGAAATGAAGCCTTGGATGCTTCGCCTCAAACAAACTGCTGTCATGAGTTTTGAGAAAACAAAAAGAGGGACAACTATGGACCGACATATCCCTCTGAATATATATAACTCATGCCTTGATCGATGGTATGATCACGATACCTAGTTGTTACTCTACTCCTTGCTAGCATCCTATATCTCATTCTCTTTTCTCCCACTCTTGCTTCCTAATCTCATATGGAGAGGGCTTGGCCGGGGGACTGGTGTCATGTTAGTCTATCCAGTCTTAACAGCACTTGATTGTTTCAAGCTCATCTTCTCACCCAAGGTTTAGGCCTTCACGCTTCTCCTTCTCCGCCCGAAGACTGGGGGCAAATGTGTAGTATCCTGCAGAGATGTCAGATTTCATTCTTCCAATCACAAGTACATGCAATCAAAGAGCCCGGACCATTCACGATGCCAAAGGTTACTACCAAACCAATGGTGATGATCTTTTTACCGTTGAGCATCTTGACTTTTTGTTGCTGTTGTTGTTGACTTTTATGTCTTGGTTGATGATCGCCACTCAGTTGACCGGATTGAATATCAGCTTCGATATATTTGATCTGGACCTTCAGTTTGAGAACACTTCAAGCGTTTCGTTGTCCGTCCCTGTAAACTAACGGCAACAACGGTGCTGTACAGTACTGTACTACTGTAGCACAATCTAATCTGCACAGCTCCATCCCGCCGCCCGCCCGGATGCCATGTGCACTGTCTGTTTAACCCCGGTCCAGTGCATGCAAGCAATGACGCGGAGGCAATTGGAAATCATTAAACACAGCTAGCGCACAGACCACATTCTCTCGCGTCTCCCAGTGTTTGTGAACGCGTCTCAACCTTGAAAGCACTGCACGTTGCCTGCCCGGACGACCAGCCATTCGCCTCCTACATTCAGGTTTCCATGTCAACGGCCCACGCCGAGTTGCCTTTCGAACGAGATACGAAGGGCAAAAGAATGTCCTCGACGACATGAACAGCAAAAGTCATGAAGAATTGGAGGGAATTGGGCGAAGTGCCGGGTTCGGACGAGGACGACGACAGCAGCTTCGACGACGATGATATCGATATCGACAATCTAGACCAAATCATTACCGAGGCCGAGTCGCCAAGCATCAAGCTTCCCGAAAGCGCAGTTGTCGGTTCCGCTGGAAATTGTGGAAAAGAACATGATATTCCGCCAAGCGAAGGGGAGAAAAGCCCTGCGACGGAAGATGTCGACATCCTACAAGCGCCCCAGGACGAGCCTCAACATTTTGAGAAGCCAAAGCCGGCTGTAGACGATATATGGGATATCCCAAACTCTCCAATTACACGAAACTCGGCCAAGCCAACTCCAGCTCCTCAACCCGTGAACGAACCTCCGCGCAAAGCGAGCCCTGTGCCAAGCGGAAAGCCCGATGACTCGGAAGACTCTCCGCTCTCTCCTGCGAAAAGCGACATTTGGTCGTTATCCTCTCTATCTCAATCCCAAGATGCGACAAACACCGACTTGCCGGTTCTGGAGGTTAGGATCCCGCAGACGATTCCTGGGAGGGAAGCATACGTGAAGGAAGATATACCCAAGAGTCCAACCAGGGAGGACCCTACTCCAACCCCTTCGTCACCTTCCTTAGACGGTACGATTTCACCCAGATCACGCCAAGGCTCGCAAGCTAGATCCGATCAGCCCCGAAGTGATGGTTCTACGCTGGATGATATAGAAGATGGTGCTCGGAGGACAGGACGACGCTCGCTCCGCCCCCGGAAGCCTATCCAACAACATCCATATCTCCTTGAAAATGTTCGGTACGCAAAAGTTATGAAGTCGCATGGCATCAAACCTATCAAGGTGGTCTTGGAAGATGCTCAACGTAAAAGGAAGGCTCATGAAGAGGACTCGCAAGAGCAGGATTTCGTTGGTGAAGAGAGCCAAGAGACAACTCGCGGTGAGCCTACACAGGTCACAGAAGAGAGCGGGCCAATTCTTTGGGATGACGACGATGAGTTGGCCCTATCACCTTCGCCGCTAAAGACATCGTCTCCCGCTCGCCATTTACGTGCTAGTAGCGTGTTAAATAGTGGTAACCAGACGGACATCACGGCCCTATCCGATGCGGAAGAGTTCCCCGATTTAGACAGTCTCCTATCCAGACCTTCCGAGGCACATAAAAAACCTCTCAAGCGACAAAGCTCGACTCTTCTGTCAGCGCAGCGCAAGAAACAGCGAACTGCATCCAAGTCCCCACTAACTGCTTCTCCAATTGGACGTTTCAGGATACCGCCAGTATCGATATGGGACATCTCACCTTCTCCAACTACGCCACGGGCGCCTGTCGAGTCATCACAGGATCTGGGGCTTGCGCAACGGCCGGACCTTCGGAGGCTGACAAGATCCCCTTCGGCCTCTCGTGCAGAACCTGTACAGCCCGTCGAATCACGTCAAGAACCGGTCGGATCACCCATCTTTATTAGAGATGATAGCGACAGTCCTGCGCATGAAAAGAGTGATATGGAATCCTTGGCTTCGTCACATCACTCAGACAGTGAGTCGGATGTGATTCGCGAGACCAGCCGGAAAATTCGTGGTGTGCTACCCGCTTCATGGCTGCGACTGGACCAGAAGAAAGACGGGCCCACTGCTCGCCACAATGCCAGAAAGGATCATGACCCCCCAATAGATCGACTCAATCGAAAAGGAGTGGCTTTGCCAAAACAGACATCCCCAAAAAGACTGTCTGCGACCCAGTTCCCGTTTGACCTGGCTGGTGAATCGGAAGAAGAGGCAACTCAAGCCCAAAACAGACCGCCAATTAGTCGATCTAGCCCTACACGACCTACTCGTCAGGTCATAACTCTAGAGGATGACGATGACGGCTTCATGATCGAAGAGGACTCCATCGATGCTATGTTAGCTGGACGAAGGAAGAGGGCCGGTTCTCCCAGTCTGTCACGAGGAGCAAAGAAGCAAAAGAGTAGTAGTAAAGCCACTCGACAACCAAAGATAACTCAGTCATTCTCTGGGTCAAAGAGTGGCTCTGGCTCATTGCCGTCGGCCAAGGGCACAGAGAAAACCTACCGCAAACCAAGGGCTGGTGCCTCTATAAACCCAAGCTCCAGAAAGAGAGCAGCAACACCGCCACTTCTCAGTATATTGGATGTCATTGAACCTAATGCTCCAAAGTTCCTCAAGATCGCAGCCCGCTCAGTCAAGAAGAGGTCGGATTTGGGAAAGAGCAGTCCGACCAAAAAGGCTATCCGATTCGGTAACCGACAAGATAACATTGATGCACTCTCTACTCTTCGGGACTGGAAATCTGGCAAGACACGGCCGCGAGTTGCGGCGCCACCAAGGAAGAAACCCGCGTCGAAGTCTACTAGAGCAGTCCTTGGGGAGGTATCCCACAATGTGGAGCGCCAACCTTCATCGACTCAACTGCTGCCTTCCTCACTTCTTCCACGAAAGCTGGTTGTCAAGAAAGCCAGCGTGGGGAAACCCGTGACAAACAATGTCGATGGGCCTGGGTCAATGTCCAGACAGCCATCACGAACTACAATTCATGAACGCGGTCCGGTCATACGACAAGCACAGCTGGAAACGAGCGTATATGAGGATCCGCAGAAACGGCTTAAGAACAAGAAGCGATCCCTTGATGCTCTATTTAGGCAAACCCGAAAAGCCCAGAGCGCACCGAGCCTTGATCGCTTGCAGCCTATCCTTGACAATGGCAAAGCAGCATCGCCAGAACCATTCGCTTTGGAAGGGCAGGTCGATTCTGTCACCGAGGTGGCACCAGCTGTTCCTAAGATCAAGGCCGCAAACGACAAGTCCCGTTATCGCAAGAGACGAGCGCCTCAGCATGTCGATGTTGAAGCACCGCAGTACACTCGAGCAGATGACCCGTTGCCTACCGCGTTTGCCGTAGTTGAGGAGCAGGCCCAGCAAAAGGACGTTGACAAACTCAGTGGGCTGGGGCCGTATGGCACACAATATACTCATCACTTTGAGGTGTTCCCCCTTGATCATGGTACATTTTTCCATGAAAGCACTATCATTGGACGCGGCTATGTCAAAAAGGCAGTCGAGCCCAGGTTCTCAGAGAAGATTCGTCGACCGAGGCCAGCCGTGTCTTTCCTCTTTCAAGGGCAGTCTCTTAGCTGGGGTATGTGGGATGATCAAGTTTCGTCAGAGCTTGGTATACTTGTTGACTGGGTGGCGGAGCAGCTCGAAGCCGGAAGTAAGGATGATGCGGAATTCGCAGCTCGACAAGCCACTGATGCAGCTAACTATCTTCTGGAGTATGTCCTTGATGCACTTCGGGTTCAGGATGACATCGGAGAAAAGGCATTCGTGTCCAGGTGGTTGGAGGTCATGGCGAGCTTTGTTGGCCGGTTCGAAGCGCTTGACTGGCGGCCATTGCGTGAGCAAACCAAAAAGACGGCTCTGGATATAGCTACCCGCTTGTCCCTAGCAATGCTCCCAGTATACATGATGGCACAGTCGTCTGGCGACGACCCCATACAAAGCATGAAGCTTGAAGGGCTTCTTACTAAGCTTTGTAAAATTGCTATCACTGGAGCGCTGAGCTGTGGGCTTGAGGATGTTAGGACTCTCTACGGAGAGCTACAGCGTCCTACGTTCCGGGAACGCGGTATCAGGCCGAATCAGGTGCTTGCTGTGTGCTGGGCCGTTCTCATGCAAATCCTAGAAAGCGCCGGTATCCCGCGGAATACGTTCTGGGATGTTGTTCACTCAGTCATGCTCACGCCTGAGATCGTGTCCGGGTCGGACGCCCAGGTGTTTGAGCGCCTTTGGCAGGACATGTTCACCCTGTTGCCTCTGGGCGAAATCGACCAGATGGGTATACTGCTTCCAGGGTTGAGAAACACCGTTCCTTTGGAGGGCTGGACACTTCCTCAAAAGCTTATGAAGCGCGTGTTCGAGCTGTACAAGTCCAATCAGCGCCAGTCACCTAGCTTCAACGAGTATTGCCGGGCTTTGATCGGCCGCTGCTACTTCCTGGTTCAACAATGGGGTTGGCGCAGATGTACTGGAATTATCGGTACTATCTTTGATTTTTTCGGCTCGCAAAATCTCTGCCATCTGAGGAATGAACAGGTCTACAAGTCTCCCCGCTTCCTGGAAGAGCTCGCTAACAATCCTTCTCTGGCCATTGAGCCCGAAGACCGTTGCTTCCACATCTTCATTAAACTGTTGGCTCTCGCCATTCAACACCTAAGGCAACTTGGGCGGACAAAGGATATCCGAAACCTTGTCACAAGGACACTTCCCAACCATGACCGACAATACCTCAAAGAGGACACAATACATGAACGTGATCTTGCAGCCTTGAGAAACCATCATGATCTCCTCTGCACGCTGTTCTGGGCTGCCCCGCCGGATCTTAGGCCGCGCGTTGACCTGATCGAGCGACTAATAACTCCTAGCAATGCTCACAAGGAGGCTTGCTTGATTAATATCCGAGCATGG